AATGAAATAATTATTAATTGAATAGAATTATCATTTAACTGATAAAAAAAGAAAAACAGATTATGAAGTAATTCATTTTAAATTAAAATTTCATTCTTTCTTAATTATAATTTTATATTACAAATATTACAGAATGTTATGGATTGATGTTATTTTAAAACTTTCATCGATTAAGTTAAGTTAGCATTGTAATAAACTGATGTAATATTAAAATAATCATAGAAAATTTGAAACATGCGTTCACAAGTTTAAATTATTTATTATCATTTTAAAGTAGTAAGGAGAATAAAGAGAAAGCAATTTTTAAATCAGTGTTAACAATTTTGTTTAGTTTTTTAATAAATCTAGCAGTAGTTTAAAATTTTTTAGTTTATTTATATTGCTAATAAGCCAATTATCTCATAGATTTAGTATGTGAAAGATGAGAAAAGGACAGTTGCGCTTAGAGAAAATATGAAATGATTTTATGTTTTTTTGCGCTTAAATGAAATGTGAAATGATTTTATGTTTTTTTGCATATTTTTTTTTGTTTTGATGATTAATAATACTACACTTAGAAAATATTTCAGTGTTATTTTAAGTAATTTTGATAATATCAAAATTTGATTAATGGAAATAATTAGAAATATACAAATTATCCATGTAAAAACTTATGAAATATGTATTTGTAATATTTTTTTTTAGATAAATGTTAGAAAAAAATAGAAAACAAAAAATGAAACTGAAAATAAATTCGATAAAAACGAATAAACAAATAAATAAAGTATGTAACAATGATTTTTCTTTTTTGTTCAAGAATTGTTGAATAAAAAATAAAAGATATATTATATTTAAAATTTTTAAGATAAAATAACTATTAATTATAATAATTATTTTGGTAAATAATTGCTCAGATTACCATTTCTTTAAGTAATTGCTTAAATTAAGAATTATGAAAAGATAATTTTTTTCCTTTATAATTTATTATTGACAAAAAACCAAAATAAAGAGTATAATGAATTAATTTAAAAAAAAAAAAGTTTTCAAATAATTTGTTTAAACAGAAATCATAAAAATTTATTAAACTTAATTTTAAACACGAATTTACAAAATAATTTACTGATATATGATATTATTATAAAAGATTAATTGGTTTAATATTAATTAAATAATTCAATCTGAATATCAAATATCATAAACTTTTGAATTATATTAAATATTTCATACATTATTCAAACTATATTACTATTATTTAGGATTATATTTAATTTCAATTAAGAATGATAGCATTGTTTATGTTATTTTTTCATTTGATATTATCCAAAGAAATAACATAGAATTTGATTTTTCCCACAAATATTATATTAATTTGAATGCTACAGTTAAAAATTATTATTATACTTTGTTATTAATTAGTTTCTGCTAAATTATTGAATAGTAAACATTCAGCTATGGAACTACTTTAAGCATTATAAACATTTATTAAGAAAAATAATTCAATTTATATGAAACTAAGAATTTAAATTTGAAAATGAAAATAATTCAGGTATTATAAAAAGATAATCATCACTTTTTTTGAAGGAAAAAAAAACTTTTTTAAGAATGGCAAAATTAAAATATTTTAGGACAGAAAATAATATAAATATGATAAAATAAAATATTTGAGGTGAAAATATTCAATTAAACGGTCCAACTTTTGAGGATATAAAAAATAATTTATTTTGAAAAGATAAAAATAATTGAAACAAACAATGAAATGGCATCGATTAGTAATAAAAGAAAGAAATTGTTTTTTTTTTTTTAAAAAAAATTTATGATGAATATATGAATGTATTCCAGTGGAAATTTAAATAAACTTTATCATTTATTGAACAAATTTTCAACTTTTCACATATTTACGATGTTAAATTATTGATAAAGCATAGATATAAGCTATATTTGATGAATTTATATGTGATTTAAAATGATTTAAAATATCCTGGTGAAATTTAAAAAATTTTAAAACAAATTTTAAAACTTCATTATTTCTTTTTCGAATATATATGGTTTTTTTTTTTTTGAAATATTAAAAGTTATAAAATAAATTATTTTTCTTTCGATAGCAAGATATACTCTTACTTCTTTTCCTATTGACAAATGTTTTTTCTTGTTTCGTACCATTCATTTTTAAATAAATCAAAGTTAAATTTTTAAACAGAAAAAAAAAAAAAAACACACAGCCATTCTAGGGTTAATTTTTTATATTATTCATAAAATACAACAAAATTATTTATAGTAATGCATTATAATACGCATTTGAATACATACAAAAAGATATGCAAATGTAAATTAATGCAAAAATTTAAATTTTTTCCTAAAAAAAAAAGAAAATATATTTCAGAAAGCGACGATAGCATTTGTTTATCCTAAAAATAATAATAATAATAATAACAATTTATCAAAAATTTACAGCATAAATGATTGACAATAAATGAAATATGATGGTACCATGCTTAATGCTTAAATTTAAATATTTCATAGCAATTTAAAAATTTCAGAAACAAAAAAAAAAAAAAAAAAATATAATTTGTACATATAATTTGTACGTATAAATGATAAAATTTCACGTACAAAGTAATATATTTTAGTAAGAATTCATTATATGAAATTACTTAATTAAAAACAACATAGTATGTATAATATATATAAATGATAAGAATAGAAATAAAATTTGTACAATTATTTGAAACTTTAAACAAACAGAGAGAAAGAAAAAAGAAAGGGAGAGAGAGAGAGAGAGAGAAAAATGAGATTCTTTGAATTTTTACATTTGGGTGTAATTTATTTTATTTTTTTCAGAAAATAATATTTGAAACTATTATTTAAGAGATATTTTGCAATTTGTACAATCTCACAATTACATTCATAAATTCAATTAATTTCATTACGTATAGATTAGCACTAATAAGCGATAAACAACTTATGGGTTGTTTATATTAAAATTGTTTACATCCTGTTTACATGTTTACATTCTTTTATATAATGGAATGAAATTGCAAAAATTAGTAGTATTAGCAACAACAAATTATAATGAATTCATTATATATTATTAGAAAGTTTTCTTTTTTAATCATAAAAAAAAAAGCAAAATTAGTAGAAAAATTTTTGCTAACTTAAAAATTTATCAAACAATATGAAATTTATTATGAAAAGAAGAAAAAAAAAAAGGAGCAAAAAATTAAAAAGCAAGATGATTTTCAAATTTGAAAGAAAGAAAGAAAATGAAAGATTTTAAATTAATAAAAAATGAAATGAAATGAAACGAAATATAAAAATAAAATTTAAATACTACTAAATGACTTTGCACATGAATGATAATTTTAGCAAATTGCAATTGTTATAGTATGAATAGCAGTAAATAAAAATGATATTATCATTAATCATTTCAAATACAAATGTAGATGATGTGATACTATACAATAATTTTGTTTCATTTTATATAATTAGCATAGCTAGTTAAAATTTAAAATGATTTTCTTTTTAATAAAACAAGTCATTTAATTAAATTAATGCTTCATTCTGCTATTTAAATATTTTGGTATAAAATCATAGTTTGAGTTTTTATGATTTTGTAATGCTAATTTAGTAGCAATATTAATTATTCATTTAAAACACTGCAATTGACGATGCTATATTTTTGCTTATCAAAGTTTACACTAATAAAAAATAATAATAATAAAAATTATATATATATATATACCAAAAAAAAAAGGGTGTAAATATACAAAATACAGAGATCAATCAATAAAACTTTAAACAAAAAATGTTTGAATTCTTTTGAAATTCAATCATAAGTTAGTTGCATAAACAAAAATGACAAACTTTTAAGAAAATTCAAATGGATTTTAACCTCTTTAAAATTTTCATTTTTCAATTTTTGTCTTCTTTTTTCAAAAGAAGAAGAAAAAGGAATGTCACAAAGAATTGACAAGCTAGAAAGTAAGGTAAAAAAAAAAAAAAAATAATTATTCTTTTTTTTTTTTCTCGCATCATTTTTATATGTGACAAAATTGATTAAATAAAGTCATATCATTCTTTCCATCGTTTATATTCTAAATTAAAACAATTGAATTCTTTTTAAAGATTTCATTTAATTTTCCTTTCATATCTTTTCTTTCTTTTACTTCCTTTCTTGCATTAAATTTAATTTCAAATGAAATTATTGCTTTTGGAACATTGCTAATAGCTCTATGAAAATTTCTTTTAATTTAGCATAATGAATACTAATCGCTTATAATAATGCCTAATAAAATTTTATCATTACATAAATAATTATATCAATATTTTTTTCATTGAATTCTTAACTTTTTTCGAATACATCGGAAGAAAAAAAAAATTCCTTTAGAAATTTCTTCCGAATTAAACACAAAACTAACAATAAATTTGTGTGAAATTTTGTTTTTGAATATATAAAATTTTTGAAATTATGTAAAAATTGCATTCAACAGGATTACTTTAGCTATATTAATCATTCCATTCAATTTTAATGAAATGTAAAAAAAAAAAAAAAAATTAATCCCAAATCATTTTGCATTCTTTTTTCCTAATTCTAATCAAAAAAAAAAAATGAATAAATAAAAAAAAACTAAAAATAAACTCAAAATAAAAAAATAAAGGAAACAAAATCAAAATAATCATTTCCTAAATAATAAAATATAAAATTCTTCTGATACCTAAATTACCTAAATTATTCATCCTTCTTTTTTCAAATACATATGCTTATATTCATGTATGATAAGCAACAGTTAATCAATGATAAGGTTCAAAGAAAAGATATAAAGAGCGAAAAAAAGAGAAGAAACAATTACAAATGATCAAATTTACAATAAATTTTAAAATTTATAATACAAAAAATAAGCAAATAAAGATAAACAAAAAAAAAAGAATTTTTGTTTTTTTTTTTCTTATTCAATTTTACATCTTATTTATTTTCTCATTTTTTATCACTCATTAAAAAAAAAAAAAAAAAAGATGATGTAAAATTAGTGAGTGTTGGTATTCCTTTTAAAATCACGCTTATCCCAACCATTATCTTTTACCATATGCGCCAGTTCGATAATAAATTTACCTTCTTTATACTTTTGACTAACTTCAAATGCATGCTCCTGAAATTACAAAGGATACACATTAATATTAAATTAATAAATTTAAAATCAAAATTGAATTTATTAATGATAAAAAAGAAATTTACATATTTCCAGCCAAGTGTTGTTTTGCAACATTCACAGTATATGTCGGCTACTGCATGAAGGCCAGTTAATAGAACACGTTCTTCTGCTGGCCCACATCCTATATTTACCCTAAAAAATTGAATTTTTTTCAAACTTTTTCTAAAACAACAACAATAATAATAAATAAATAAATAAGTAAATAAGCGATGTTTTTAATAATTTTGGAAAATTTTTTCAACTTTTTTTTTTTTTTTTTTTTTGGAAATTTTCTTTTCAGTTCATTTTGAAAATGAATTTGAGAAAAAAAAAATAAAAAAAAGGATATTTGAATGATTAGTGGTTATTATTACAAGCGTATAATTATTTTAAAAGCTATTTGTATTAATTTTTTTCAACAATTTATGATATCATATTACAATAAATGTGCATGCTACAAATATCATAATAAAAATAAAGTTATAATAAAATATTCTATCGTCATTTTAATATTTTTTTTTCTTTCATTTTAATAAATAATATGTTAATTAATTAAAATCTTAAATGAATAAGTTTGTAACTCTTTTTAAATGATTGAAAAAACGTAAATATGAAATGAAATAAAGTCATACAAGAAAATGAAAAGTTCATGAAATAAAAACTTTTTTTCACTTTCTTTATGCTTTTTTAACACATTATTTTTGAATAATAGTATAGAAAAAAAAGGCAATGAATGAAACTTTTAAAATTTTTTAAAAAAAAAGGAAAAAAAAAGGAGGAAAAAACTTACACGGAATTGAACAAATATGCTTTCCCTTGGCTACCTTGAAATGACTGCAAAAAAAAGAAATGAAATCTTTCTCATAATTTTTTCAAACTTTTAAAACCGATGAAAAGTGCAACAGCTGAAGAAAAAAAAAATGATGTGAGAGAAAAAGAAAAAAAAAAAAAATTTAGATATAATAAAAATGGCCGATATAGAAAGGGTAAACTAATTTTATAAATGAACATTTAAAATACAGAAGGAGAACGAAAAAAAAAGAATTAATTATGGAAATGAAATTTCAAAAGTTGACGACGAAAGAGGAAGGAACAAAAAAAAAAAGTAACCTTTGAAATAAGCTCATTATGATTAGCTAAATTGGCACGACAATGTACACAACTATAGGTACGAGCTCCATCCGGTAAGTAAGCCTAAAGAACAAATTAATGATTCATGAATCATTATAATTTGAATAATGAAAATGAAATAATCTTTTCTAGCTTCTGACTTATTGTCAGACTTTAATTTTTATTTCACATAAGATTAACTAATTCATTTTAATGCTTTCCTATTAATTAATTAATTAACTAACTAATATTTCATCCTATAATCTTGAGGATAAAAATGTATTAATATAAAAATTTCGTGATGAAATTTTTTCTCTTAATACAAAGTAGAATAAATGATTGTTTATCAAATCATTGTTATAAATCAAAAATTTTTTTTAAAACAAAAAGCAACATTATGAGATAATGATTATTAGATGTTAGAAAAGTTGTCAAAAAATCAGAACTACTTAGAACATATATAAATATACCTGAAAAGTTTTCGATTTTTCTTTTTTGATCGGTTCGACAAGTTTAACAGCTGGTATTGCAGCCATTAGAAGTCTTCGAATTAACCGGCAGAAACCACGACAACACGACAAAATCCGCTCAATGATGACTGTGACAGATTCAAAATAAAGCACAGAAAATGGGAAATGCTTCCGTAGCTATCACCTCACTTAATACAACAATTTCCTCGGATGTTAATTCCGCGAAAATTTCAGATTCCTAAATTATAATTACTTAGTGAATGTTAGTTTTTAAAATTTGAAAGATCAAACGCCACTACTCATTTACGTTTTTTTTTTTTTTTTTTTCAGAATTATTACCATAAAAAAGTTAATAAAGCATTTTTGTATTTTGACAATTACTATGTGTCTACTTACTCATCTAATACTTAAATTATAATTCAATTAGACTTTTAAGGTAAAAACATACTGTTTAATAGAACAATAGTAATATTATAATAATTTATAATAATATCATAATTATTAACAATGGTAGCGATAAAAATAAAAATAATAATAAAATAATAATAATAGTAATAATACTCACATAATAAAATTGAAAAATACAAATAAGAAAATTATTCTATTAAATGATAATAAAATGATAAATTTAAACAATTGGCTTAAAATATTCTAATGCAAGGTGACATCAAATAAATGAAAAAGTAAAATATTAGAAAGAAGAAAAGAAGATGAATCGAAAGAAGGAAATGAAGAAATTGAAGTTTATTGATGCTTAATTTTCCAATATAAGTAGTTTTCATTGCAAGGAAACGAAAAGGGAAGTTTCAAAAAATGGGAAAATGAATTAAAAAAGTAAATTACATGCAAGCAGCATGCATAATGTATGCAAACTAAAATATTGCTGTGAGTAAAAATTTATTGCTTAAGTAAAATTAATAATAATAATAATACTGTAATTCTGAGAAAATGATAAATAAATAATAAAAGCAAAGATATTTGACCCAAAATTGTTAATATGAATTTCAAATATTCATGATCAATTAAAATAAGAAATTCCATAATATTGGATAGTATAGCATATGATAATGATATGATAATGCAGGAGTAGTTATATGCTTTTTTCCTTCTTTTCGTTTATTTCAAAATGAAAATTTCTTTCAAAAATTTCAAATACAAATTACTTTCTTTCTTTTCCCATTCTACTCAATCAGAACTTTAATAATATACTGCTATTGCAATTATGGTGAAGAAGAAATTTAATTCTTAAAGCGAAATACGTCACTGACTGAAAATAAAATAAAATTCTATTTAGCAACAATTAATTAGTAAAAGCTAGTAAAAAAAAAAAAAATTAATTAGCAAAAGCTATTAGAGTTTACTGTAGCAAAATGAAATTTTCAAATCTTTCTAAATTATTACGTCAGTTTAAATATATCAATTCAAATACAACTTTAATTTGTTTAATTCATTTTATTTTTCTCACTTCAACAATTAAAGTTATTTTTTCATAACTTCAAAGATTGTATTATCATTTTACAGTCAAATAATAGCATAAAAACAATAAGTTAATTTTTTAGCATAAATAATATATGAAAATTGAAATTGGATTCATAGGACACTTTTTTAAAGTATTTTCTTTAAAATAAAACGATTCATTGCACGATTTAATTTTTACGAATTCAATCTATAGATATTTTTATTTAACGAAATAATTCAATATCTGTATGACATTATCAACTATTCCTTTATGCTAATAATTATTATTAATAGTAATAGTAATAGTTAATAGTAATAGCGAATGATAATAATAATTATATTAATGAGATAAACTAAGGCTAGCAACTGCCGAATACAATAATAATGTCTATAATCATTTGTTATTATTATTATTATTAATTATTATTATTATATTATTATTATTATTATTATTATTACTTTAATTAAATAATCTATCTGCTAACAATATCTTCTATTTATTTTGAATTTATAATTCATTTCAATTCTTATACAATGACAAAATACTGATATAATCAAACAAATGAAATGATAAAATTGAAACTTTGAATAAATGTGATAAACAAGAAATAGAAGAAAGATCAGAAGAGGAAGACGAAGAAAGAAAGAAGTGAAATGAGCAGAAATGAAAACAAAATGCTTCATTTTCACGATTGCAGCATCATTTACTTACTTTACACAATGGAACAACTGAGAGTGATGATGACACAGGTAAGTATTGAGGATATATTAATATTTTACTTCAGCAAACTTCAATTTTTAGTACATTTCAAAGAATGCAACAGCGTAATCTAATCAATCAATCAATTCTTATTTTCATATTAATTGTTTTTAACAAATCAATCAGTATATTATTAGTCGACCAATATTTTCATTTTTATTTGATTTTTCTTATTTTTATGACATTATAGCATGGAAAATTATTTCTGTTTCAGGTTTGTTATAGATGAATTTTCTAGATTTTTTGATCTAATCAATGTTAATCAAACTGGTATAAATTTATGTAATAAAATAATTTTATCACAAAAAGAAAAAAGAAGAAACAATATTGTTTATTCCTTTATTTTTCAATTAAAAACAAACAATGTTCAATTAATTTGCATAATTTATGAGAAATTCAATTTAATTTTTGCATTGTTAGTGTTGAATTTCAAAACAAAAAAACATTCCAAAATTCCGAACGTACAGTTTTTGGATGTTTTTGCAGGGGGAAAAAAAGGAATGAGAAGAATTTAATACTTTATCTTACTCTCAGAATTTATTCATTTTTCTATTATTGCTATTATTTTATTCCACATTTCTGTTTTTTTTTTTTTCTTTTTTTTTCTAATTTTTCTTACAATTAAATTAATCATTAATCATGTCTACATGCATTTAACAATTTTTTTTTCCAACTTTTTACTAAAAACTTTAAAAACGTGAGCATACGTGTACGTGTACGTAGCAACGCAAAAAATCCATAAATTGGTACTTTAAAATTAGCATAAAGTAAGAATAATAAAGGGAAAAATTTTTTTTATAATTTTAAACAAGTTTTAATAGCAATTCTTGCGAACGATGGTAGATAGTCCGAATGGGACAAAATATCGAGAAATGGGAAGGATGGGAAGTTAAATAAATGTGTGTCCGAATTTTATCTTTCATATTATCTAATTCTTTTTTTTTTTTTCCTTTTCTCACCATTTTCCACTATTTGATTGGAATAAGAAAAAGACCGATTTTTGAGTAATTCATAAAAATTATAATAAAAATTCCAAAATGACAGCAAATTATAATGTGAAGAGCAAATTATGATATGAAATAATAAAATTCATAATATTACTGTGAGAAATATGATTTAATTTTGTAATTATTAACATCTCCAGAAAGTTTGGTTAATTAAGATGAAATTAAAATATTGAAAAAAGAAAGAAGAACAAATTAAAAGTAAAATATTGAAATATTTCAACAATAATTCCAACTATTTTATAACAAAATAACATCAATCATAGCAACAATGATTGATGAAAATAATAATAACAACTATTATAATAATAATAATAATAAATGTATTATTAATAACGACAACAATGACAGCAATGTCACTCATAATTATTCGACACCTTTCATTTACCTTAAATTTACCTCCTTAAATTGCTGAAAATAGAAAAATGAGAAATGTTACCAATTTTCTCTGTCAATTCGTCATATATTCTTCTCTATCATCATTGTTTCATTCTTATATATATCTTTAGATAAGTTTAATAATTTGATTTTTTATTTCTAATTTGCTACTTTATCATTGCTACTGAAATTTTGCATATTGATAAATTTGAGAAGGAATTAGGAAAAAGAAGGGAAGAAGAATGGTAACGTTATCTCTTCTCGAATTCATCATATATATATAAATTTGATTCAAGGCATTTTGAGAATATATGAACATTGATAAAATGTCAAAATATTGAATCAAAATATTGAAAAATTAGATATTTTAAAATTTTAATTTTTAAAGAAAACAAAGCGTAAAAAAAATCATTTCTAGAAAAAAATAAAATTATAAATCGTTAACTATTACTATCTGCTACTCTTTTAAACTTCATCATTTCTCTTTATAATTAACAGCATTGCAAAAGGTACTCTCAGTATTTGAAATTATTTCCTAAAGTAAGAATAAAAATAAAAGATTGAAATTAATTAACTCAGTCTGATCTTTCTTTAATATCATCATTTCCTTTTGTTTCCATTTTCAAATTCTAAATTTCTAGCAAAAGAAAGAGAAAAGACTCATATCATATTGTTAAGCTAAGCTAAATTTGAACAATCCTTTTATTTCTTTCAAATTTTAATATATTGTTTTTTTTTTCTTTTTTCTTCCGAAATTTCAAATAAAACAAACAAAAATAGAAATGGAAAAATTTTCCATTTATGGTTATAATAAATGAATGACAAATTGCAATTGTTTAGAAAAAAGTAATGTAATGTTGTTGAGAAAATAGAAAAAAGAAGCTTTTATCAATCCAAAAAAAAAAAGGAAAAATATATGAGGAGAGTATTGCTTTTAGATAAATTAATTAAAATTTTTGAAACAAAAAAAAAAAAAAAAAAAGGAAAAGATGAAACAAGAATTTAAAAAGTAACAATTTTTGAAAAGGAAGAAATAATGACCAATAGGATAGAATGGATGAAATGGATGAAAGAGGATGGAACAAATCAATAATTACTAACAATAATTAATGCATAATTGACAATATAATAATAATAATAATAATAATAATAATAATAATAATAATAATAAAATAAATTAATAAATAATAAAAATAAATATTAATGATAACAATAATAATAATAATAAAATAAATAAAATAATAGAATAATAATAATAAATAATAATAATAACAATACTGACATCTGTTATTGTTTACATATACCAGTGTACGCATACGTAAACAAACAAGACTAGTTATTAGGTGAGGGAGAGAAACTAAAAGATGTAAGAAAGGAGGTAAGAAGATATATAAAATCGGAGATGATGACAAATGATAGAATGGTCAAATGAAAATGGTCAAAATAAGGTCAAACAGAAAGGTAAA